TATATATATATATATATATATATATATATATATATATGTAGACCTCTGACCACAAGCTTTGCACAGCTTTGACTTGCTCTGATTTCAAATGTTGAAACCTTGCTCTACACAGAGTGCATATTGCTTGTCTGGTAGTTAACAGACAAGAAATATTATAAATTACAGTGAGACCTGACTTTAGTCTGCACTTTGAGACGATGGAACTGAAAGTTCAAAAAAGCTAAAGTGTTTCCAGTTTTTAGGACTCATTCCTGTGGCATTCTGTATGAAAACACTTTTAGGCCGTTCGCTTACCATAAAACAAGTTCAATTCTGCCTTCAAAGTCCTCAGACCATGTTTGATTTTTATCAGCATATTTTCAAGATTGTGAAATCCAGTTAACATTTTATTTGTTTGTTGTCTTGTTTTGTAATGCTTCATTCCTTGCAGGGAAACCAAGATGGCGAGTGATGTGTGCAGCCATGTAAAGGTTGTTGTTCGAGTGAGGCCGGCCAATGACAGTGAAAAGCGCGAAAACTGTCGGAATGTGGTCCAGGTCGTCGATAACCACATGCTCATATTTGACCCCAAAGAAGAGGACTTGTCGTGCTTTGGGTCACAAAGAGTACGAAACAGAAACATCAATAAAAAGGCTAACAAAGACCTGAAGTTTGTTTTTGACCAAGTCTTCGACGAGAATGCTACACAAGTCGACATTTTTGAGAATACCACTAAAGGAGTGCTGGATGGGGTGATGAATGGATTCAACTGTACAGGTGACAAATTAATGAGTACAAGCTGCAGCTACAGTCTGTCTGAATTAGTCATGATGTCTGCCAATTATAAAAAGATGCAGAGCTGATTAACTCGTTCTGTAGTGTGCTAGTTATTTATCTGTCTGCAGCGACAAATTACCCTCACTGCTGTGAAGGGGATAGACCTTCAAAGATACAATTTTATTCCAGGGCTGGATAAATGGAGTGCAGAGTGTTATTCTTTACCATATATTTTGGTGCAATTGACTTAGCCAAAAAAAAGAAATTACTTTGTATAGTTCTGTACTGTGCATACGTCTTAAACCACCTCTCATTCCCTTATGCTTTGCTAATATAATGGGAAATATGTGCAGTGATTTATCAAAACATCTGTAAATATTTATAAAAAAAACAGTATACCAAGTAAAAGTGGTCTTCAGAAATAGTTCTCCAGGCTTCTCAAAACACATTTTTTGGATGTTGGTAGATCAATCCCCGTCAAGGGGATCCTACACTGCTTTAATAATGTTGAGGTCCAGACTCTGGGGAGGCCAATCCATGACTGATCGTGTTCCATCGTGTGTTTTTAGATCCAGGTATACTTTTACTGAATTGACTGTAGGCTTGAGATTATTGTTATGCTGAAAAATGAAGCTGTTGCCAATGGAATGCTTTCCAGGTGGTTTAGCATAGTAGGTCAAAATTTGATGGTACTTTTCTGCGTTCATAATTCCATCACTTTTAACAAGATCCCCGCCAGCACTGGCTGAAATGCAGCCCCAAACCATGAGACAGCCTCCAATGTGTTTTACAGATGGTTGTACATGCTCAGTGTTGTCAAAATGACAAAGTGCCTAAAGATGCCATTTATAACTGTGCAAAGTTCTCTCTTATGTGTTGAGAAAACACTGGTTCATCCCTTGGGTTAGGTGCTCTTTTTATGAATGAGTCATATAATCGGTGTTAAGTGGGTTAACAACAACAACAACAAAAACATTCCTTTGAAAATTGTCAGCTGGAAGGACTGGACCAAAAATAAACGAAAAAGCAGTGAATGTCCAGAGAAAAACTGTGTTTGCTCAAGAACATATAAAAAAAATTACAAAATTTCTTCCTTGGAAGAAAATTTTAAAACATTGGAGGCTGGCTTGAGACTTTTAAATAGTGTAAGTTCAGTCTTCCTTTTGGATATACTTGATACTTCCATTGCTCACATTCCAAGTTTTTCACGTTACATGCTTGGTTATGCTCTTTTCTAAGCAAGCTTTATGCTGAAACTGTTTTTGTAGAGTTTTCTGTAACTCTTAATTACTTTTTCACTTGCAGTGTTTGCCTATGGTGCTACCGGAGCAGGCAAGACACATACCATGTTAGGTTCACAAAATGACCCTGGGGTCATGTACCGCACAATGAAAGAGCTCTTCAAACGCATGGATGACGCCAAGGAGGAGAAGGAGTTTGCAGTTGCATTTTCATATCTTGAAGTGAGTATTAGATTCTTTATTTTTACCTTTATTTTTACTTTGCTTTATTCTCCTTGTTGTTTATGGAATGTTGTTTCTTACGTTGTTTGTTTGTGCAACATATTAATCACTGTGTCAAGTCTGGATACTCAGACTTGTACAGAAGACTTTAAGTTGTAAAATGTGTTCTCAACCTACACTGCTTGTATGTAAAGGTATCGCAGCAGGTACGCATTCATGATTTCTACACCTTGCAGTATCATTGTGTCTGAAAGCTTTTACCTGACCATACATTTTTGTCTTTGTGTGGTTTCATAGTGTTTTGTTGTATTTGCACGTGTTCACAGGTTTACAATGAACAGATCAGAGATTTATTGGCTAACGCAGGACCTCTTGCAGTCAGGGAGGACAGTTCTAAAGGAGTGGTTGTACAAGGCCTCACACTGCATAAGGTCAGTACTACCATCTATTATTTAAAAAACCACACAAAACACTTCCATGCATGCACTTCTGATGAAAAATGCCCATCCTTTTAAAAACATTAAAAGACTGCATGAAAGTGAGCAATATTTGGGTAAAAACAGGTGGTGCTAGCTCATTGTATAATAAGCATGAAACCTGTGTAGCTCATCTTGGGCCAGGACACAGGAGCAGGTTGGAAAAAATAATAATAATTGTCTTTTTTTTTTTTTTTTTTATGAAATAAAAGCTATATGGGAGAAAACAAATTTAAATTTGCACTTTGTGATGTCAGCAGTTGTAAAGATTAAATTCTGTTTGTTCAACTATCTTTCCATTAAACCAGAAACTTGCAAATCAGTAAAACTACTGCTTTCATTAAAATTGTTCTCCAGAATTGCTCAGTGGCGGTTCCATATAGGGAAATATATCATAGCACTTGTTCTTGTAATGTATAATTATTACATTGTGTTACACATTATATTATATACCATAATATATTTTATATATGTTTATTTGAGCAGGCTGGTGCTTTAAATAGATTCCTCTGCCAATGTGACTAACCAGAATCACTACTTCATGACTACTTGAGATGGTGCTTATCAAATGAATGAGGAATTTAACTCACTTATGTTGCAGAAGAAGGAACTCACAGGGGATAAAGGCAGGGGAAAGCAAATCACAAAGCTAATTAAATGAATTGCCTCATTATTAAGACTGAGAAATAATGATATTGCACAGAAACACGTGGAAAAAATGTAAATGTCTGAATAAAAGCATGTTTAGGTGTATGTTTTATTTCGTCAGGGGCAGATATGATGTATCACAGATTATCTTGCAGTATTAGACTGCGTTTCACTTAATTATCGTATCATGGTTGCTACTGTGCGAAATGTATTTTGATGGCAGTGCACTGCAAGTTATTTTCCCCTGTGTGGCGTCCTGTGTATGTTCACGTCTTTGTTTTTGTTTTTACCGACAGCCCAAATCTGCAGAGCAGATTCTCGAGGCTTTGGATTCTGGCAATCGAAACAGGACACAGCACCCGACTGATATGAACGCCACCTCTTCTCGTTCCCATGCTGTATTTCAGGTAAGCTAAATGACCAGAAATCATCAATAAATTAAGATATAAATACTAATGTTAAATATAAATAGAAAAGTTAAGTTTTTTTAAAGACTCCTTATCGCTCCAATCATGTAACAGTGGATCAGACTTTAGTTTTTGATAACCTTGAATGAACTTTGTTCTGTTGTTTTCCTCCAGATATATTTGAGACAGCAGGACAAAACTGCCAGCCTCAATCATAATGTATGTGTTGCCAAAATGAGCCTGATTGACTTGGCAGGCTCAGAGAGAGCCAGTGCCACCAACGCTAAAGGGGCACGCTTACGAGAAGGCGCTAACATCAACCGTTCACTCCTCGCCCTGGGAAATGTCATCAATGCTCTTGCTGACCCAAAGGTGAGTGAAAGTGAATGTACAAGGAACTACTTTACAATCACAACTGTTTCTGAGAGCCATTTAAAACCTTTTAAAAACATTAAAAACACTTAGTAACAGTAATTAAAAAACAATGTGTTGATAATATTGTTTCCTAACTGGCAAATAAAAGGTTTGGATGGTTACTATAAGGCAGCACCTGATATTTTAAAACTGTAATATTGCAGTAAACAGAACCCTTAACTATAAGTATGCTCAACTCATTGTACACTTCTCGGCTTAAGCGGCTGCCATATTGCAGAGCACAAGGGTCTTGTACAAGGGTGTTTGTTATAAAAAGAGACATTTTTGACCTCAATTCTCAACCCCAAAAATCGATACAGGCCATAAAACAGCCTTTTAATGCCAATTATATTAGATGTTAGATTTAGGATTGTTTAATTTTTTTTAAAGAAAATAATTTCCAAATTTTAAGATAAAGTATACATTTCTTATCTTACCTTACTAGCCTTTTAGGTTATATATAGGCTCTATATATATGTTTATTAACATTACTAATAGGGCTGGGTGATATATCGAGTTTTTTAAAAATATAGATATATTTTCATACGAGATATAAGATGTGACAATATCGTTTATATCGATATAGTATATGTTACGTTATAATTATACTTGTGGAGCCGCAATTTTGCCTCTCTTTTGTCCACTTTTGTCTCTATGAAACGTTACTTTGCCTCGCCTCTAGTGATGGGATTTCCGGCTCTTTTTAGAGAACCGGCTCTTTTGGCTCCGAACCGGCTCTTCAGGTTGTTTTGTTGCTTTAATTAATGTATTATTAACAACAATATAAAATTATGCACAAAAGGAATTACTAATGTAAAAAAAAGAGTGGATTTATTTATATATGTTTATATACTTGGGGCGGTGGCCCCAAGAGACAAAGCACGTACAAACTCCAAAACACATTTCTAGCGTTAACTGAACTTCCAAAACAGAGCTACCTAGATCACTTAAATTACACAATTGAAAGCATATGTGTATTGTTTTTATGTTCTTCTGAGTTTTTACGTGTTTTGGAGTTTGTACGTGCTTCGGAGTTTTTGCGTGTTTTGGAGTTTGTACGTGCCTTCAGAGTTCGGACGTGTTTTGAAGTTTGTATGTGCTTTGTCTCTAGGAACCACCGTAAATATACTTTTATTTATTCACTCCACATAAAATGTAATAAATAAATAAATCACATAATACAAAAACGAACTATTCACAGTTCAACTTTTAGCTATTTAAATTTTCAGCTTTTTCCTTTTAAACAAATTTAAAGTGAAACAACACAAAACACTGCAAATCACAACACAATTAAATATAAATTAAAATATGAAAACAAAAAGAAGATGCACATTCTCTGTCATATGGGCCTGCATGAATAAACTTTCTGACTCCTTTATCATCTGAAAATAGTTGTGGATGATTACTATACCTTTCTAATGTGACGTTTTTGGCCCTGGCTCTCTTTATCGGTCTCTCCCTCCTGCTCTGTTCCTGTGCTACTATGACTGTAACTACCGCCCCTCCCCCCTCTTCCCAGCGCAAGCACAAGGCTCGCATGCGGAGTGAAGCGGAAAAAAGTGCGAGAGAGAGCGTGAGAGAAAGGAAGAAAAACAACCCACGGCTCGCGTCGTTCACGTGAAAAATGCGGCTCTAAGAGCCATTTCGTTCGCGACCGACACATCACTACTCGCCTTTCCTTCACTGAACACAACTCCCCCTCCCCCATAGCTTCAAGATGAACACTGCAATTCTTCGTTAACGAGTTACCGCGGATCGCCCCGTGCTGATAATTTATTTTTGAGTAATTTCTTCATGCACATCTACGCTGTATGTTAATAAAAGTGCCTGTGCAACTTCTGGGACACAGCTTTGACTAAGAACTCTCTTCTTGTTCTTACCTTATGGCTTAAAAAAAAAACCTGCGATATATATCATATATTGCCATCCAGCTAAAAAATAGCGAGATATGAATTTTGGGTCATATCGCCCAGCCCTAATTACTAATAAAGGAAATTGTTAATCACATGTGGCTATTCTGCTTTTTCGGATTATTTAGTAGTTTACCTTTGCATTTTAAATACAATAATACTCTTGCATTTATTCCAACTCGAACTATAATTGCCTAATTGTTAGTTAAAATTAGTTAGTAAAATAAGTTGGAGCTCTAAGGTCTATTTTAAAACTAAGTAGTAGCCCATATTACCCATATAGCCTCAAAATGATATCAAGGTATTTGAGGAAAATTTGCAACAATGTAATTTCTGTGGATATAACCAAAACAACAACAAGCAAAACAAACAAAATGGACAACATTTTGTTGACACTTACGGTGTGTTCACACCGAACATGGTTTACATGTAAAGTCAATGGAAAAGCGCGATGACCCGCGATTGTTGTTCCCGCGAAAATTCAGAAGCAGATTTGTGTCGCCAAAAGTTTGACTCGCAAAAAAAAACCCACCGCGTGAGTTTTTGTGTTGCATTTTGTGTATACGTGTGTTTTGTGTCTACCGCTCGAGTTGGAAAAATCTGAACTCCAGCGTCAAATCGCGCCGCGACAACCAATCAGGAGCCTGGTGACGTGGCTCTGACCTAGGTCAAAGGGGCAGATCCAGCCAAAGCCCTTCATTCTTCAATGGAGGGAAGGCTAATGAACGCTGTAGCAAACAACCCGGAGCTGTACGACACCAGCTGCTTTCTGTACCGAGACAGGAATATAAAGGACCGAGCTTGGAGGAAGATCTGTGAAGAGATCGGGCAACCTGGTAAGTTCATTCATTTCCCTTTTGAAAGTTTTCACTGACCCGGGGAAGCCGCACAAAAGCTAGCAAGCCACTGCTATTTTCCCACTGTTGTACAAATACCGTTCTGCTTTTATGCATGTTGTCATATAGGAATATATTTTATTGTTTATTAATAAACAGCACACAGTGGTCTCGCTCATCCGTCACTGCTTCGCTTTTTCGCTGATTTTTTTTATTGCACAGTACAGCATTGCATTCTGCAGCCTGATTGACAAATCTCCTCCGTGTCGTGTCTCCTGCGCTTGCCAAATTTATCATGTTTGGTTTTGATAACCATCACATCCAATAGAAAAAACAGCACAAAAACACCCATAACTATGACAATCATTCGGAAATACACACCTGCACCGCGAGGGAAAAAGGTGCACGAAAGTGGCAGGCAGATGAAGACAAAACGCGGCATAATAATACTTTTACGTTTTGCAATCTACAAAGGTTTGCACTTTGAGAATCAACTTGTGAGAACTGTGACCAATGTTCATGTTTGTGGGGAAAAAAAGTGTATGAAGTGCGTGGCGAGGGGCTAGTTATTCTGAGAACCCCTGCAATAAATGAGGGACCACTGTATACTCTATGATTATTATATTCAACCTGTTAACATTTAATACTGTATTGATAGAGCCAACTGATTCTGCAGCAGAGCATCCCCTGTTGCTTCTCCTGGCTCCCCAGTCCCTGCGCTCCTGCTGCTGCACCCACAGGTATGTACAGCAGGCACTGATAGCTTTTTACTCTGTGGGATTCCCTTGTGATCACCTTTACTAAAAAATCTACAACCAATTATTGTATCCTGTTTTTTTTTTTTCTTTTTTCAATGTTGAAATGAAAATCTAGTAGCAGCCTTCTCATTTCTTTGTGTTTTGTGCACTTTAACAGGCCCACAGAGGAGGACAGCTCCGAGGCAGATGAGGTCCAGGACGGTCCATCGGCGGTGGAGCTGGATTTTACTTCTTAAAATCCCTATAAACCTTGAGTGGACAAACAATAGAAATTAAACTCTTTAAATAATAAATAATTTTAAAAAAACATACGAGTCAACATGAAATAGTTTAGCCTTTTAGCTTTCTGAATCATCTTTATTACATTCTATAAAAAAACATTATTTAATAATTACATTTTTTAGTAAGAAATGTAACTTTCTTTAGCTAAGAAACACAATTCCTGAATAACAAAAAATATCTGCAACATATCTGAATAACAAAAGAGCTTAACCTAACAAATGTTAAACATGACATGTATCACGCTGTAAACATTAAAATGTTTTAATTTTCAAAGCAATGAGTAACATATTCATACATAATATATGTAATCATGTCATGTGTTTCAACAAAGTGAAGTTAACTCTGACCTTTGGTTAACAAACAGAATTCCAGTGAAACTTCCTCAAACCAATGAGCACCATATTTCCTGCATACTGTATGCACTCATATGTTTTCCAAAAACCTTTTTGTACTACTTAGCTGTCTTGTTTTTGAAAAAGTTGTTGTATCTCATTAATGTAAGTCTCTCAAAGCGTTCACTTGACAGTCTGTTCCTTCTGGGTGTAAGCACAAGATTGCCGAGGCTAAAAAGCCTTTCGACTGGTGCGCTTGATGGTGTGGCTGTGTTGTACCTCAGTGAAATGGCCTGGGAAACTGGCTAAGAAACCCAGCTCAGACCCAGCAGATTTCAAATATTCCATCACCTCTGTTTCAGCAGAGTAGGTACAGTCGTCCTCCTCAAATGAAAAAAAGTCATCAGTGGAGTCAGCAGGGTTCTTGTGATCTTGAGCAGGTTGTTGGTCTTCAAGAGACAACCCACGGCACTCTGTAGTAAGCATTGCCCTAACCATGTCTTTTCTCTTCTTCTCTGATCCAGCGTAACTTAAATTTAGGCAAAGTGACTGCAGCCAGGAGAGCTTCTTTATTGTCCATCATTGAGGAAAAGTGCACCTTGATGAGACAAAAATACGTCAGACACTTCACATAAGAGCATGATAAATAAAACCACAATTTATTTTAGGGTAAGGCCACATATATATATACATATTAGATTACCTTAACAATTATATCAGGGAGGGATGCTGTCAGCTTAAGCTCGTCCTGCAGTGCCAGCGTCCTGGACATTAGAATCTCCAGAGTTGGAAGAAGGATTCCAAAAAAGCAGTTCTCTTCTCCTTGCAATATGTCTAGTG